AACCTTAATATCCAAATATTTACCTTTTTAGAATTAACAACTAGAATTTAAAACTTAATTTCAATTTAAATAAATTAAAACTAATTAGAAAAATGTTTATAATATTTAAAATAATTTAATGCAACGGGATTAATAATTGAAAATATTTTTTGAAAGATTGCAACTAAAATTTAGATTTGAGACTTTGGCAGAATTTAAAGTTAAGCTTAAAACCTTTTCAATAGCAGTTCTCAGCAGTATATAATAAAAAATTAAATCAATTTCAAACACTTTAGAAACCTGCTCATTATATATACATATGTATATAGTATAGAAAACTCTACTTGGGTTCTTATGGTTCTTTGGGCGCTATATATCATCCATTTTAAGGATTTATTTTAACAAAGTTGGAGACTTGTATGCTTTAGAGCACATAAAGTGGCAAATATAAAGATAGATGCTTATTTCTGAAAACTAAAATCATCATTCATCATTTACATGAATACTTCGTCTTTAACTAGTTACTAGAAGGGTTTACGTTGTGTCCTTATTGTAATCAAAATTACAGCATTTATTTATTTATTTATGATTTATGATATTGTAACATAATGTAGCATAATTTCTCTTTATATATTTAATCCATTTCTAGATTGAACTAAAAGTGCGTATTTTAAGAGATGCCAAAAAGAACTTGGAAGCTTAAAGTTGGAACAGATGGGAAATCAAAACCAATGTCTAATTGAACGCAATCTAGCTTAGATAGAGAAACAAGGTGGAGCAGGTGAAGAGGACAGATGAATTCAAAAAAGATTACCCAACTTGGATATTTCTCAGATTAATTAAACTTAAAAAGAAAAACAATTATAAGAATAAACAATCAAGACAAAAAATTATCTTGAATATAACAAAGCAAGTTGGTACCTATTTATTTTTTTTAAAATTGAAAAAAATTAAGTATTAAAATTTAACTGCATATTTGAACAATTTAAAATAATAAACATGCACCTTAGTACACAATAGAGCGAGCTGATCACAGTGCATAAAGGCTTAAGCCTAACCCATAAACCGTTACCAAACATGTACCCTATAGTTTTGATTTCAGTCTTTATGATCTTTTTTTTTGTTCTCACCCATAAAAATAAACTGACTGGACAACGACAACAAGACCATAAAAATCCATTTAAGTAATTAAACCACCTTATGCTTTTGAGATAAATCGAAAATCGGTATAGAAAGCGTTGAAAATTTACTGCGATTGTAAACAAAAATGCTTAGACCATCGAAAAAATTTTGGAAAATAATAAAACCATTTTTAATGTTAATTTCTTGTTTATGTCAAATAAATTTGTAGCTCATAACCGAAATAAAGAACTCAATATCGTATATCAATTATATTTCGACATAACAGTTAATATTAGATTAAGTAATATAACAATAACTTATACTGATGTGTTAGAATTTAATTGATTTCGATCAAGTCAATGGTTTTCGTAAACGACTGAGTCTGTGTCATTCGACATCGAAATTCGAATCTTGCGAAAGACTCCCTGTCAAGTAACGTCAAGTAAAATAGTTTTAAGTTATACTAATATGTTAAAATTAATAAAATTTGGATGAATTCTTTACATTTCATAAATGGCTGAGTGCACATCACTTGACATCGAAAATAATTGTTGCCAAGGGTGAAGTCCTCAAGATAACAAATAAAGCTTCGTAATTAATTCTATATTCATGCTGCTTATATTTTTGTAATAGTTAAGTTTACATTCTGGTATTGAGTTCATAAGCAAGAATTTAAATTTTGAAAAATTTAAATAAATTAGAAATTATTACAGCAATTTTCTTCCTCTTGTTTTTCGAAAAATAATAATAAGCATATACATCTGTATACATATCGTACACCCTCTTCAAAAGAGACACAGCGCGAAATTCGTCAATTTTGAGTTAATAGTTAATGTATGGAACTTGCTTATAGTTTACCTGTCTACTAACACGCAAATTCCAATTTGTTTTTATTATTGTAAATTGTTGAAAAAAAACAGTTATCTCGTTTTTTGTTAGGAATGACACTACGTTGCAAAACATTTTTTGCATTTTCAGAAAATTGACGAATTTCGAGTTGTGCATCAATTGAAGAGGGTGAGCGATATATAGACTGCACTTTGTAAAAACAAAATACGTGGTTACTCGTTGAAGCTGTAAAAATAAGTAATAGTGCAAAATGTAAAGGGATCGTTTTTATTTCTAGTAGGGGAATAGTCTCCTTAATTTTTTTTGTATTAAAGGAATTCTCTGTTCTTGTTGTTGTTATTGTACCCAGCAGAGATCTATAAACTAGATAGCATAAAAGCAATTAGAAAATCTTATACATGGGTTAGCATGTGTGGAGAGGTGAAGCCTCCACATATTTTGGTTTAAAGATTAAAATACTCAAGTGTAGTTAAGAAATATTTGATTTAAAAAATATGGTTTATAAAACAGATGCTATTTTAGATGTATATTTTCTTGTATTTCTATACTGTTCCATTTAATGTATCTAAAAACAAAATTTAAGGTACACTCACTCTAATTCAAGGTACACCTATCCTCACCTACTGAACAACAAATTTCTGTTTTGCTATAGAAAACAGACTACAGTGACTATAATCAAGATCTTGTTTATCGAAATCACTGTTTTGATTTTTATAGTGAATTGCTGACTTTTATAATATGCAAATAGTTACCATACTATATAATTATAAACATTTTAATTTTAAACTTTGAATTTTTATCTGACCATACAGCTGTTTCGAACATTGTCAAATATTGAGCATCCGCGGTCTTAGGAAGTATTTTATAGATTCAATTGTTCGTAAATAAATTTTTTTAAACTGTAAGTACTAGAGTATACTTGTGTTTTGTCAAATTTGAAAAGCAGACTTACGATTTTAAGTTTACTCATTTTGTTGCTTTTGTTAAATATTTAGCAAAACCCATTAATCTGTTTTCAAATTATTTAGATTTTTCATCATATGACATATAAAAATTTTAATCTTTTGATTTTAGTTCAACAATACAAGTTTATTGAACAATAATAACAGTAGATCTCTCTCTTTATAATTTTTATTTAGCATTGTACGCTTGTGCTAAAATTGTTTTTTTAAATTGGGTAAATAGCAAAATGTTGAGTACATTTTGTGTGATTACCATTTCTAAAAACTGGGAACAATTCAAATTTATTAATTTAGCTTATCAACATGCCCCGCAGCTGGTTAATTTACTAAAATTTTATATATTAACATTTCAAACAAATTATTTAACACACATTTAATACTTTATCATTTTAGCAATTTAGCACGTGTTTAGCATAGATAATAAGAAACGTGAACGTGAAAATGCATACATTCTAACTCGTTATAGATCGTAGCATTGTTTTACAACAGGTTAAAATGTGCATAACCCATTGGGAGCCTTAGTATGTTTCACTAAATGGAATTGAGAGCTTAAAACTTAGAGTTCTAATAGAACTTTGTCAGTGAGAGAAATGACTATTTATAGTGTAAATAAGAATACATTATAATTAATAGACATTTTTCAACATACTTTTTGGTAGTTAGTATTGCAGTGTTTTTAATGCTATGACACGGTTGGTTGGCAATGCAATGCAGTATACATATTTATGTTAAGTTTTATTAATTTTAAATTATAATTACCAATTTCTTTTATAACAAGATTATTATTATTTCAAATTAATAAAAAAAAATTAATCTTAATAAATTTTTTATTTTAATTTTGCACAAATTTTAAAATTTCTCTAACACCATTGAGTTGATTTTTATTTCACTATCGTTTGATTGTTTTTTTTTTTTTTAATTTTTTTGTTGTATTTATGATGCACTAATGTAGTTATTTTCACAACTTAACAAAAAAAAAAAAAATAGGAAGTGTATTTATTGTATTCTCACTGTTTCAAATTATTTATTTAATTTTATTAAATTTAATATACTTTTGCAAAAGTCCACAATATTAATTAAAATATAAGATTATTTTTAAAATTTATGAGTCAAGAACCGATTGATATTATAAACTTCGCATATAAGCAACCGGCGTCTTTTTTCGTATTAATATTGCGTGATTACAAAGCGAATCGCTTATCCTCAGCGTACACAAACCGACCGCCTGACAACACACCTCTCTTGTGAGTAGCACCGCTAGCCAAGAAACAGCGTACAGCGTCTTACGCGTAAATACCACTGTAGCAGAATATGAACGACCGGTGACTGCATGCACATTCAAAACATACACCCTCGCTCTTCTAACACTGAACACTTTATCTATGTGCAATAATTTGACACTAAAACTTTTAACATTTTTTGAGTACAGAATCACTTCAATGCATATTAACGTTTCAATGTTTTTGTTTTTGTTTTTGTTTTTAGTTTTATTTTATTTGGGTTTTGTTTGGCGTTATTTTGTTGTTGTTGTTGAAACATTTATTATTTACACTGAAATTAATATTGTGCAAATGGTTAATTATGTGTTGTTTTTGCTTTTTGCGTTTTTTTTTTGTTTTGGTTTTGCTTTTATTATTTCTTATGCATTCAAAAACTGAAGTTAATGACTAATTATTATTGTTAATTGCGCAATATTATGTCACTTTCGTTTCAAGTACCGTAGTTAAAATATTTATTGCATTTGTCATCGTTTTTTAATGTTTCATCAGCACTTTTTTCAATTTTTAATTTTACATAGTATAATTAAAATAATTTTTAATTTTTAATATGTATATGTGTATTGATAATATTGGAAACAAAGCTATTCACACTTTTGTTGTATACAAACAAAATAACTTCCCTAAACTTTGATCACTACCCCTGTATTAATGTTTAAATTATGCTGTCGTGCTGCATTTGGCTTGATCAACATAAGCCAGCGCACATTGAAGTTGTTGTTGTTGTTGTTGTTTTCGATGTTTTTTCTTATTTCTTTTGTTAATGGTATGTTTTGTGGTTAGTTGTGTTTTTCGTTTTTGATTTACTTACTATTTCCATTGAATGTTGCTGGTTGTGTTGCTGTTGTTGGTGTTGTCAAATTTGACGTTGTTGTCGTTGTTGTTGTTGGTAGTGTTGGTGGTGGTGGTGTTGCCATGTGTGGACCGCTGCTGATTAACCAATTGGTCAAATGACGTTGACGTTCAAATTCGATGCTTGTGCGTTGCATTTCTACCAATTTAAAGGAATCTGTCATATTAAAACAAAGCGACAGAGAGAGAGTTCTGTTTGGCAGTTTTCTGCCTGCTTTGTGCACTGTTCGCGTGTGTTCTATCACTGCTTCGTGCTTTGTAATATAAATCGTTGATAGCGCGTCTGATGCAACTTCAACTATTTCACATGAACTTTCATATTGCAACTGTCAAAATAACGTATGACAAATCGCAAAACAAAACAAAACAAAACCAGAGCCAAAGCCAAAGCCAAACCAAACCGAACCGAACCGCCAAATGCAACTGTCAGGCAGCGACGACTCACTACGTTTGAAGAGGCGAGCTTGTGAGCTGCAAAGAAACGTATATAAAAATAAAGAAAAAACTTTATTACTGAAAGAGTAAAAACAGCAAAATAAAAATATAATAGTAAAAAAAAATGCTGAGCATATATATCTTTGTTTTTTGTTTTTGTTTTTGTTTTTGATTTTATTTATTTATTTATATATTATTATATGTATACGTTGATATCTGTGTGAATATACATACATATATACACATCCATACATGTTTATATGTTCACAAGTGTTGAATAAATTAAAAATTTGCCATAACGTATGATGACAACGGCGATATGAGTCGTATTGTACGCGATTCCCCCAAACACCCGCACAAAACAATGTAGCTGTAGCTGAGCGAATGCCCACAACGTAATCCAAGCTTAAGGTAAACTTAACTGCCGCAAAGTGGCTGCAAAAGTGCGATAATCGTAATGTGACTACTTCAGCATGCTTCACTGCTTCGCCTATCTGCCCGATTCTCTTGCTCGCTTGGTTACTTGATTAATTTTTGTCAGTCTGTCAGTTTGTTTTTATGGGCTATTTGGATTTTTTTTCTTTATTATGTTTAAATTGGTATTTTTTTCTATTTCATGAAAAATTTAAGCATTTAGGAGACGTGCTCTCGCTGTTCCAAAAAAAAAAGTGTAAATTATGTACAGAATTTCTTATGCCTAACTGTGTGGTATCGTCGAATAAGAAAACAAATCAAAAAATTATTGAAAAAAATGAATCATAAATAAATCAAACAACAGACGAAGCGAAGGGGAAGTCCAAATATTGACATTACTTAAACACCTTTACGGCTCAAGTACGGTAGCACAAAAAGTAAACAAACCGCAAATGAATCAGATTTATACATACATACGTAGCTATGTAAGTGAATACATACATGCATATGTGTGCTTGTACAGTTACTAGGCGGCAATAAACATAGAACGCAACAAAAGTGCTGTAGCAAATTGTTCACCTTACGTTCATTAATTTCGACTTTCATGAACAAGTGGCATCATAATGATTAGATCCTTATTCGCACAGTTTGTCTCGAATTTAGTTTCAGAATAAATAATAACTTGATGACGGGTCTTAGTAATGTTTTCCAATCGGTCTCCAGTTGCAGTGATTTTTTCTCGTCTATATAACCAATGTAAGACTTTACAATTTCGAAGTTAGATATCTAAAGAATTAAGCTATATCAATATATATATGTATAATATAATGAAAAAAGATCCATACACATACATACAGTCCGTTTCAATTGAATAGCACACTTCGTTTTGGCATTATTATTTGCTTATCTATCAAGGATCTCATGACTTTGTTGTGATAATTATTGTGGTTTTGTTTTTATCTCCTTATGTAGTCTCTTCAAAAAAAAAATTAGAGCTATAGAAATGTACCGATATAGTTTTCCGTTATTTTCTTTTAAATTTGCATCAATAGCTAGTACTTTTTTCGTTTCATTTGCATAGCACATTTGGGTTCGAATTTCATTTATGAGTAAAAAGTCATCACAATATTAATTTTTTTTAATTTATTTATGAATTTTAAATGCAGTGAATGCATGAAGAACAGGTCAAAATAAAAAGCTTCATTGATTCTCACCTGTCAGCGCCAAAAAAATAAAAAAAAAAAATTAGAAGAAGCAGAAAAGTTATATACAATTTTATTCAAAATATTCTTTATAATGGAAAAAATATAAAAGGCCGCGTAAAAAGCATCCTCAGCTATGAAGATAAGTGGGCTTTTTTGTGGCAAGCTTTGAATTCGCATGATTCAGTTAATAAGATTAGGTTGAAAGCTGGTGGCAATGCAAGCAAAACTACCGTATGGCGTGTTATTTCGAATGCCTAACATCTAAAATAGTTGAAATTAAAAAAAAACACCACTTAACCCTATACGTAAAGATATTCGGTTGACGTTTTCCCGTGTCAACATGTCATGGAGCAACGAGTGGAATCGCATTGTTTTTTCGCGACAGTCGAGTAGGCGGAGTTATGGTTTAGGGAGCCATATCTTACTATGGCACTCCAATCCTTAAACACAACTATGAACGCAAAATCGTACCAAGGAGTTTTAGAAAAGGCTTTTCGTCAATTGAAGAATCTCTTTGGACAATTGTCGCGGACTTTCCAACAAGACAACACCCCAATATATACTGTCCGTGTTGTAAAATCGTTTATCAAGTCCAGAAATGTTGCGATTCTGAACTGGCTACCATACTCGCCGGATCTTAACATAATTGAAAATGTTTTGGGGATGGCTGGCCAGAAATTTTATGAATGTGGAAAACAATTTTTAACAAAAACTGAACTAATTGCAGCAATTCAGCGAGCATGGGTATCAATTTCCCTTAATTATATTAAAATTTTGTGTAATTCATTCCCGATAGGATTTATGAGATTTTATTAACCAAGGGAGGTTCAACCCATTACTAAAATGATAAATATTAACAAATTAATCCTATTAATTTGTGCTACTCAATTGAAACGGAATTTATATGCTATTTATATACTTATTTAGTTTCTAATCCTTTAATTTAAAAATTAATGAACAAATTCAAGTTTTTTTAATTTTATAATAAGATTATTAATTACACCACCCATAAAAACTAAAAACAAATTGTTTTCTTTCATTGGTTTAGAAGATATAAGGAAAAAAAATTAAATGTGTGAAGTGTGCTATTCAAGTGAAACGGAGTGTATGTGAGCGCATACGATACTACATCTGCGTCTTTTTCTAGTAATGATTTCTAGATATTCGTTTCTATAAAACATATTTACACATCCATTTCGTCATGAGCCTTGTGCTGCCACAGTATAACATTGTTTATATCCAGACTTTACGTACCAACAACGCCTAAAGGCACCACTGTCCCAAGTTCAAATAAAAGTCAACTAACCTAAAAAGTCTATAAATTAAGCCAAGTTCCTTTCTTTACAATACGATAGCTCTGCCATGTTGGTAAGAAAAAGGGTCCAAAAGATTTCAAATGTTGTCCTAGCCAGTAATGGATATTAATATATAAGGTGGAGTACAGTTTTCTTCAAATCCTCAGAGTCTCAATCAGTTGAAGCAGCTGACTGGTACATTTCTTGTAATTTCAACTCTTTTTTGAACAATTAAGATTCAATCATAATTACGAATGTCGACTTTTTGTAAGGAATCGGATATTCCTTACATGGGCAACATCAAGAATAAAATTAAGATTGTTTGTATGGTCTAAATAGGCAATAACAGAAAAAACTGCAAATTGAATCATTATTAATAGAGTATCTTAATATTTTTGTTGGTTTACATACTTATTTTTAATTGTACATATTAATATTATTATAGTGATTTTGATGGATCAGTTGAGAAATATTAAAAGTTTTTTTAATGAATATATTTTCGGTGGCGATTTTTTTTTCATATCCTAAGTAATATTAGAAGTAATTTGTTTTTTAAAATTTAATAACTGTTTTCTGTTTTTTCGAACAGTAATGAACTACAACAACAATAATTCATTTTTATATTATTTTAATTAATTGAATTTTTGGCTGACCATACAGCTGTTTCGAGTGTTGCCAAATACCCATTATCAGTGGTCTTGGAAATAATTCTTGTATTTAATTATTCGTGAATAATGTTTCTTTGAGATTGCAAGTACCTAATAAAAAAAAATATTTTCTACAATATCAAAATTGACAAATTATGTAGAAGTGGATATAAATACTAATTATTAGACCCAAACTTTCTTTTAAATACTATTATGTTGAAAAGATTTGAGTTCAAATATTATTCGAAGTAATTTGAATTTTCGACCAGCTCGAATATTTGAAATTTTCAATAGAAATTTTCGAAATCGTGTGTACTCGAATTGCTCTGGCCGAATACTCTGAAGCAGTAGTCTCCACTTATCACAACTGATAATTTGTGTAGTGTCAAACAAGGTAGGCTCGAATTACGCAAATTTCTGTTCTCTATGAGTGTGTTTAGATTGAGAACGTGATTTGGTAATACTGAAGGTCATTGCTATTTCGTAATTCTTTGTAAGCAATATAATAAACCGACACCATTGTAGTATGTTTGAATATGTTGCTATAAAAGAAATGGCCTTGAGCGATACAAGAGTTAACTGAATAAGCGAGCGAGCGAGTGAGCGAGCGGTAAGATAAGTGTGAGATGCAAAAGAATTCAAGATTGATATGCAAACATGTTTGCGCAGTGATCAATGATTGCTGCCATGTTGGAATTGCAGAGTGCATTCAAAAGGCACCATTTACAGTTAAATGAATTTCGTTTCCCTTTTATGTACAAACATTTGTATGTATGTATTTATGATAAAATATATGATTTGAACAACGAATATTTTGCTAATAAACTTTTGTTTATTACATAAATATTTTATAATATGTATACACATTATTTACTGTACATACACATAATATTACAAATATGCATATTAATTAAGATTTATTAATAATTAAGATTTGTTCATAATTTAGATGTATAACATTACGTATGTATGTATGTACATACTATGCATGTGTCTGTAATTTAAAGAGAATTTAAAAATTTTTACTTATACGATTAATTCTAGAGAATTTTCTACATTTAATTTAAATTAATTTAATTTTAAATCTTTCAATTGTGTTTAAATGTTTTTAAATCAAATTGATGTAAATTGAAATTAGTTTGATTTTAATTAAATTTAAAGAAAAGAATAATTTTTTAAAAATATCAAAAAATATGTTTCTTTTTAAATTTAAGCGTTCAAAACTATTCTTTTATATAAGATTATTTCACCATGTTGAGTCAATAACTAGAATTAATTTTGATTTTAATTTAATTTGAATTTTTTTTTTTGAAAAATTTAAATATTAAAAACTATTCTGTTATATAAGATTATCATGTTGAGTATAGTCAACAACTTCACCTCATCACCACAAGTTAACAAAAAATACATTACATAAATTTTTCCTAATTAAAATTTGTCAAATCTAGCGTAACTTTTTTATCTGAGATT